CACGTAAAAAACACCCCCAATGAAAAGAAGAAAACAGCCTTGKATAAGTCTTATACGAGGCTGTTGTGTCATTTATGTCGGCTATGACCGCGTAAGCGGTTTCTATGCCAATAAAGGAGAAGAATATAATATTTGCATATCTTTCAAGTAGATGATGTAATATTTCAACTCTATTTTGATGACGATAGACTCAGAATTAATAGGTTTCCGGGAACAGTTTGTTTGCCGATTTTAATTTCCAAGGGAATCGCAGAAGTTCTTTGGAAGTCTATGGCACAAGGCATTCAGTGAAGGTAAAAGTCATCGAGAACTTGAATCATGCAAGTCGTTCATGCTATTAAAGCCGACGACAGCGAAAAAGTTACATAAACAAGAAACAAACGGAGAGAATCAACCCATTTTATGGATCGTGTAAACGCATTTTGGTTTAAGTTTTGGGTATGAAGCGTGTCAATGAATCAGAGGTTTACCAACTACGCGAACTAGTTCCTGAATTTTTATCATTTTCTTCCCAAGAAGCYACTCATTTGCCGATGTCCACTATATCATACGTTATAGATGTCTTGCAAACCAAGGTGCATATCCCTTGTTTAGTTTTTACTTGATAAGAAAACGTSAGGAMATTTGGCATGCATTATTGTATAATATGTATGTTACAATCTGATTTGGGTTATATGGGTATTTTCAAGCTGGGTTATAAAAAAAAAATCAAGTATTTTGGTACATAAAAGCCAAAATACTTTATAATTCATTATAACAGTGAAAAAACAAAAACAAGTCACAGAGGTTATCGAGAGTAATAATAAGGCAATGAGTACTTTTTTCTTAGGTTGCGAGCAAGCAGAAGTATATAGCTGGTATTTGGAGCGATAAAATCATATAAAAAAATCGTCTATGCACTTCGGACAGGAGTTCCATAGACCCAAAACGGGTAGCGACAAATAAAAACAGCAACAATTTTCAAAGTCATGCGACTCGAWTGCCGGCAAACTGCACTAACACGCAATGAAACTACCAGCAATAACAGCTACGAACCAACAACCACAAGCAACTAAAACTACACACAACCAGAACTGTAAAGCCAAGACTGCTATCACATGACAACAACAACAAGAACATCAAAAACAAAGCGATTCAGCGAAATAACGCGTCAGCGAGTTTTTTTGGCGTTTTATTGATTTACCGTCTGCGAAACAGTTATTCCATTTTGTGCCCACAATTTCATTTCATTTCCGCTGGGTTTCACTCCGCTTCAAACTTGTGTGTATTTTTGTGGATATTGTATGATTTCTGATGCATATCGCGCCAGCACAGACACACACACAGCCAAACACAAACTTGCCAGTGAGGCAAGAAATTTGCAAATAGCACAATAAATCTTGCTTAGACACCGCAAAGTGAATTAGAAATTTCAATTGAATTTCAACAAARATCTGCACAAAGTGCTTTCGAGATCTCTGCGGTAGGTGCTTGTTGTTGTTTGCTTTTGTATGCACACATTTTTGCAGCAAATTTTATGTTTTTTGCTGTTGTTGCTGTTTACTCAAGGCGCAGACAAATGTTGTTTGTTCATGAAATAATTTTGATTTGCAGAATTGTCAGCAATTTGTTGCTTGTCGGATTTAATTCAGTTGGACATTTCACTTTGTTTTCCCCAACAAATTAGAACAAATATGCGTAGATGTTTATGTGTGTGTGCATACATACATATAGATATTTCGAAAATATTTCACTGCTGTCTCAATTAGAAAGCAATTGTTTTTGTTGTTTCAAAGCAACTTATGTTTAACTCAAAGCGTAGCAACAAAAACAAAAAACCACAACAAAAGTAAAAATATTTTCCATTTGTACTTTATGAAATGCAACTTTGCACAGTTAGAATTCAGYTTATGAACAACTTAAATAAACTCCATTAAATACAAATTACTTTGAGAGCAAATTTAGYAGAGTTGAGAGCTTTCAATGTTCAAACAAATTCTCAGAAATATTTTAAAACCAACAAAAACTGAAACGGCATATCTATAGTATGGAAGTAAKGTGTAGTATACATTGAATAGAATTCAATATTTCACGAGTTGGACTTTCACTTAAACAGCTTGTGCAAGAACTGAAACTGCTCGACCTTCCCAAACGACTACTTTTAATTTATAGGCTCTTGAAAAGTTCCAAGAAGATCCGACGTTTTCAAGTCACATTTTGTTCAGTTCGTTATACCGCCAGTATAACCGACTAATAGCGATAAGATCGATATATTGTTTCAACAAGACACTTCCCATACCTCGCATCAATCAATGWATTTACAYATCGGTATGTAGATAATTCGATGTTGATGAGACAAAAGCCTGATTCAGCAAAATTGTATCGCTCGACCTTCATAGTACCTTAAAGATACTAGTATCTTTTCTCATGGGAATAGTGTAAGTACGAAACATCCGTTCTATCTCACATGGTGATTCAAAAAATAATATTTTTGCAAATAATGGCTAGAGCTATGTGTAGAAGGTCACRAAAGTGAGGAAAGTTCTCTGTGCGGCATTTACTTGGCAGTGCGCTTAATGTGACGAATATCATATCTACATATAGTCAAATATGAAGCCGGTAGCATTATWGTTTTGGGTGCCATGACTTCATCTGGAGTTGATCGCGTGGGTTTTACAATGGGTACTATTGAGCGCTGTGTTTATAAAAACATATTGAAACACAAGTAAAGACATACTAGAAATCAGACCGTGCATATTCTTCGATACTGGCTTCTATATAATGTCTACAGATAACTAAATGTACCACCGCGATCACCAGCTACAAATTCGATTTAACACATTTGAAATATTTTCGAAAAGAAAATGAACGCCAAAACCTGTATTTACTCAAGTTTGGCACAAAATTGCTGGCGATGTAACTAAAAGTTTAGAAACTGCATCGACGTTTATAAATAGTGACCGAAAGCCAAGGTGGACCAACCGAAAAAAAAAAAAAAACAAAGTATGTTCGCCAAGAAAATTTCCATATTGGGTTATTTCTTATGCTTTGGTTATTCTTGTTTTTGTTAATGCAATGAATTACATTTCTGTTTCGCAAATAAACTTCTTCAYAAATATCTCAAAAGAAACTTTCTCTCGACTTTCGGAACAGAATAGCAAAATCGAAGGGAGTATGTTGAGTATGTTGAGAACTTTCTGGACTGTATTTAAATTGTTATAAAAAAGTAATTGAGAATAATTGTGAAACGATTTTGGGCAAAAGAAAGATATTTTTTTTTTTTAATGTAGCTTCTATGGAGAAAAAATACACGTTTTAGTTAAAAACTAAACTGAGAACATGGACGAAGGAAAAAAAGTGAAAATTRGATTTTAGTCAGACATTTTTACAAACAAWMTGAAAATTYCTCAAYAWTTYTTTTTTTYMAA